AAATGAAGCTGTGGTAAAAACGTTACTAAATACTGCAGTCTTGTCCTAACTGGAGATCACCACCATTGCTGCAGTCTGTAGTGCTGGGCTTCATTTTACAAAGAGGAAATTTTGGGTGGAGAATGGGATAAAATGAACATATAATTTGAAAGAATGTCCTTGCATCTTGTCCAATAATGACTGAGTTTTCTTTTCACTTTTTGTGAGGGAATTTATTGAAAGCCACTTGAAAATCCCAATAAATCTTTCCCCTTTCTCTTTTATTGACTCTTGCATTAACATGCTCAGAGAATTTTAGTGGACTAGAGAAGAATGATTTTTTTCCTCTCAAAATCCCTATTGGCTTTTTTTCAGTCATATCACATTTAGCTAGATGATTTTAGTATTCTCTGTAATTATTGTCTCAAATAATTTAGTTGATACAGAATAAAAGCTAACAGGACTATAATTTCCCAGATTATTTGGGACTTTTTTTAAAAACAGGGCATTTGTTCCTCTTCAGTTGGCTGAGAGCTAACAGTTTTAATGCACAATCCCTTTTTTATTTTAATTATTAGTATCTCAACTGCTTTTTTAATTCATCTGTAGATTTTATATGATGAAGTCTTCAAGGTTGTTTCTGAGGACACCGTTTTTGAGATATCATCTTGGAGAGCGTTTCCCTTTCGTAGCCATGAGTGAGGAGCAGGCCTAGGGTAGGCTTCACCTCAGCATCCTGCCCCATGCAGGAAATCACCTGCGGCTTTAGCAGATGTTTTCTTTCTCATGTGCAGGTTGGGCGCAGGTGTAAGGTGAGCAGTCAGCTGGGTGGCGCGGAGCTGCTCCCACTCCCCTGTGCAAGGGTGCTCGGCAGCACTGGGGTGCATTCTAGCCTTGTCTCCCTGGTGAAATCCAGCCTGACGCCCTTTGTAAGGTATCTGTGTTTGCAGTGTTCGTGGAGGCTGCAGTCATCCCTGGAAATTTCTGGTGACTTGCTTGTTATATCTTTGACTAATGGCATTTCAAATTTTCTCTCTGCATTCCTAATCCTCATTTCACGTTTTGCCAGCTATGAGTACACTCCTCAGGGTTGGAATGACTTTTCTGAAGGACTTTTCATTTGAGGAATAGCTTTCACCACTTCACCTTGTTGTCTGTAGGGGCATTCCTGAGCCCTTTTACGGAATCTGTCCCAAGATACTCAAGTTTGTACCGGTATATTTTATCTTTGGTATTTAGTTTGTTCTAAATTACCTCCTTTATTTTTAAGACCAGATTAGCATCAGCCCCTGGTCTCAGCATCCTGACACCTGGATGTCTGATGCTCTGAAGAGCAGCTCTTTGCCAAGGTCTCTGTGAGCAAAGACTCTTTCAAAAGCGTTTAAAATACTTGAGAAACCAGATCTGCTTGTACATCAAGAGTAAATTTAAAAATGTCGCTTTGCCCCTCCACTTGCTGAGCGCATGCTTCATCCCACAGGTGCCTGCTCTCCACACCTGAGAGTTATTTCTTTTATTATGGCCCCTATGAAGCAACTTTAATAATCAAAGTTAATTCCAGTCTACCTAGGATTTTGGCAAACCACATGGGCCTGATAGCTGTGCTGTGGACCAGTGGAGAATGTGTCCTGCTGAAACTGGGCAGGGGAGAGAAAGAAAGAGAAGCCCATGTGGAATGGAGAAGGAGCCATATACATATGCAGATAGGTAGGCGTTTGTAACCCAAAGTAATTCCCAAGTGAGGCTTATTCTTGATAATCCCCACTATGTGAAGTGTTTCCTCTTCCCTGCAGCATGCTCATGGGCATGCTGCATATGAGCAGGTCCGTGTCTAACTAGCTGCTGTTCTCAGCTCTTCTCCCTGATGAGGAGAGTCCACAATGTTGCTTGTGCAACAAAGAGCAATATCTTGTGAGATTTCTTGGAGAAAAGCTCTGAGCCATTCTGGGAGATTTCCATTTACCCTGCAGTTTCTTGGCCATAAGACAGGAACATGTGGGTCAACAGTACTGGACACTGTAGGAGGAGTGTGACACTTACTTTGCCTATGGTCAGGAAAAGGTCATATATTAGGAAAACAAGTGCTACCTCTGGACCATGACTTGGCTTGGGGAGATCCAGGCAATTAGTAGATAGCGTTAGGAACACTTTCTGCCAGCATCCTGACCAGGTTGGTAAGAGACCTTGGAAGTTGCATTCACAATCCCTCTATGTTTTCACTTTACTTCTGTCTCTAATGGAGATTGGGCTGTTGTGAAATTTAGGTCCTAAGGTAGCTTTCCCTCTTCTAAGACAAGATGCTAGTTATCTGCAGGGTTTCCAATCATTTTCTCCCTAACAGCTGGCATCCCTGGTCCTGACAGCCAGCCAAGGCAGCCAGCTCTCAGGACTCTTAGGTGCACCAGGCCAATCACGAAAGCACTGTGTAGGGTGCCGTGCATGGGGTTTTTGCTCTTTTTTGTTCCCTGGAGCCCTCTGTAAGAAGTGCCCTCCTCTTTCTCGGTGAGGACTGCTGTGTCCATGGGGCAATCTGGGTTCTCTACAGGATGGGAAAGTTTGAGGGGCTTAGATCTCCTCTTTCCTCATGCTAGAGGAGTGAGGGGCCATCTCATGCCTCCTTCACAGCAGTGGCGTGCATGAAGATGCACCCTGCAGCCAAGTGTGCCTTCATGCAGTTGCATTTTCAGCTACTTAAGTTTTCCATCTTGCTGCCTGCTTTGGGTCATTTGCCAGCTAATCCTCTGTGTGATCCCCATGGGATGGGTGGATGCTTTGGTGCAAGCACCTCCAACTTGGGCTGGCTGATCCCCTGCACCATGTTACAGCCCCAGGATTGTTGGCGCTTTGCCTTGAGCCATGTGGCAGCCTGGGGCCGCTCCTGGGCTCCTGCTGCGTTCATGGGACGTAGCAAGGCCCCGCACTGGCCCTTGCTCAGCACGGGAGTTGTGGAGTGCATCTGCAAGGAGCCGGCCCTGGTACAGTTTCCCGCCTGTGCCCAGGGCAGGTAGCTGCACCCAGCCCGACACCTCTGAGCAGGCTGGGCCACCGTGGCTACAGCTTCCCCTTCACTGCTGACAGTGAGTTTTCTGTACTGCTGGAGGCAGAGTGTGTAGGGCAATTATCAGAGCTGCATAAAGCTGTTTCTTTCTAATGGGCTGAACTCCCTGTGCTGTGACAAACTACTCAGCTGCTCTGGCTCCCTTCCTGTCTTTGCCTTTCTCTTTCATCCCATTATTCCCTCCCTGCTTTTCTTGCTCTCATCCCCTTTCATGCCTTTTTTCCCTCATCCCCTTTTGGCCTGCTTTTGCCCTGCCCACACGCAGGGGAACAGGCAGGGCAGGGCCCTGCTTGTTACAGTGGGAGTTTTAAAGCAGCTGTGTGAAATGCAGCACAATAATCCAGGAGACTTCAGGGAGTGCTTGTGGGCACTGTGGGTGCTATGCACCTGAGAGTGCTGTTGGGCGAGGGATGTGAGTGAGTGCCTCTCTGTTTTGGGATAAGCTTGCTCTGCTGGTGGGAGTTATACTTGCCTGCACATGCACATCTAGGAGAGTGCATGTGTGTGTGTGTGTGTGCACATGAAGGTGTCAAGTCTCACATACACGGTGTGAGACTCACACATTAGGCTTTCTCCTCACACTCCCCTAGGCCACTACTTCATGTGCTGCGGCTCAGCACCCAGCCTGCCCCCTGACATGTTCCCAAGTGGAATACATGCACCCGTGATATGATGCTGCACTGCCTCATGCAGATGGCAAAGATAGCCAAGAAATTGTACGTGTGTATACGCCTTGTGTGTGTGTGTTCATGCATGTTTGTGTTGTCGGTCCTGTCAGCTATGTACTTCAGGACTTGTGGTGGTGTCCATCACCACAGGATCTCAGTGTCTCCTGCGCGGATGAGGTGTGCCAACAGAGAATTTGACCTTCACTGACTTCTTACACAGAAGTCAGAGGAATTAGCAGCCTCCATTGAGAGAGGTGTCAGGCATTATCTGGTGATGGGTGCAGGGTTGTTTTTTATCATTGATTTGCTTAGATTTTATTAATGTATCAGGATAAAGTTATCTGAAGTTTATTAAAGAATATTGAGTATAACCATGTCCTTGGAAGGAGGCTTTCATAGTGAGAGGAATAAAGACAGAATAAATCATTGTCACTGAAGGATATAGCAGCTCGTCTATTTTTGAGGCACGGAATGAACTTCAGGCGCTGAAATCCAGGACTGGCAAGTGGTTGGCAATAGGCTTTGTCGTTTGGTGGTTGCTCTTTGCAGCGACTCAAAGCTATTGAGTCTCCCAACTTCTAGCTTCTAGAACCACTGTCACAGTAGGTTTTGTTGATAGCGTGAGCAGTAAGATCTGGCTGGACGGGAGGGTGTAATTTCTCCCAGTCGTGCATTGGAGTGAGGTGAGGAGGATGAAGGACTGCCCACCTACTCCTCTTGCTCACTGCTAGATAGGCATCTGTCTATAGTTTTGATTTATTTTAATTATATATTTTTAACAGACTCTCTTTCCAAGTTCCTGGCAAGGCATCTGAACTGGGCTGGTATCTGTGGCTTTCTTCCCACTTTAATCCAGTGCACTGGGAGTCTAACATCTGTGGTCATGGTCCTGACTTTTGCCTTTTGACAAGGGGTTCCCAAATTGTGCGTCGTAGCAGTAGATCATAGCGACAAACCAGTGCTGTGCTAAGGGTGGACGTGTTATTTTCTGCAAGGGTGTGTCACAGGACAGACCCCAAAACTAGTGTGCTGCCACTGATTATGGTATATGTGCAAATGAGTCTGGGAGTCCCTTTTACTGTGGAGCATCTTGTCTTAGTCTGGTTCAACCCCTTCTGAATGAAGCCAGAATCCTAGTGCTTAGCTGACATATGAGATCACAATGACCAAAACTAATTGAGGAAATCCCTGGTGTTCTTAAATATTGGAGGAATAAAACGGACACGTGTTTGTATGCGTATAATACACGTAATAGGCAACAAAAGGGCTTGCCTGATGTATTGGTCTCTCTGCAGGTGCACTTGCGCTCTGCTGAGCGCCTCCGGGAACTGTGCTGTGCCAACCGAGGCACCTTCATCAAAGTGGGGCAGCACCTGGGAGCGCTTGACTACCTGCTGCCTGAGGAGTACACCCGCACCCTCAAAGTGCTGCACAGCCAAGCCCCGCAGAGCACCAGGCAGGAGGTTGAGCAAGTCATCCGCGAGGATCTGGGCAAAGAGGTAGGAGTGGCTGTTGGCTTCTTAGGTCTCAGCAGGCCATGTGCCGCTGGAGGAAGGGAAACAGCAGCAAGAAGGTGCCTGATGATCCTCAGCTGCAAGAGATGTCAAGGAGAGATGTCTCCTCCTTGCCCTTTGGAGAATGCCAGGCAAATTTTCCCTGCCCATTGCTGGGCATTGCTGGCAGGTTTAGGAAAGGAGAAGATAATAGAGGAATAATAGAGTGAGGGCTGCCAGGTGGAAATGACAGGCCTCAGCAGAGCAGCGTGCCCAGGAGCTTGTGCCCAGACTAGCAGGGTTGCTGGAGGTCAGGATGGAGGGCCATGGGCCACTCTGAGGGGGTTGCTATTCAGGACTCAAATGCCCTGGGAGAACTATGTGAGGGAAGACTGTTCTCCCCTGGCTCCACTAGACCAATTCCAGTCAGCCCTGACAGCCCTCTACTTTCTAAAGCCCCTAATTAACCCCCGAAGAAAAAAATAAATAAATCCCTTTAATAATAGCATAAATCTTTCTCGGTGCTTGCAGTCAGGTAACAGGGAAGCCAAGGAGGCTGTGTCACCCTCCAAACCAAGGAGGCTGTTAACCCTCAGCAGCCCACAGCACTAAGATCAGACCGGGGATGCCTGTGTTCATTAGCTATAAGAATCACGATGTTTAGAAAGGGTATCCTGCTACTTTGCATCTTGCGCCTTCTGAGGAAAGGTCCCCTCGCGCTCTTGCCCTGGGCTGAGGAGAGGCATTTCAAGGATCACAGCTGGCATGGTGAGAGGGAGGGAGGAGGCAAGAGTGTGCAAAGGCAATTGCAGAAAAGGTGGGGGTGAGGGGCAGGAAGACAGAAGGTTGAAGAAAGGAAGCAGTGAATACATGTGTATCTGTTCATTTAAAGAGGTGTAGGGGGCTATTGTGGGGTGTTACTGGCTGGCTGAGAGTGTGAGGAGGAGGTACAGGGAGCATATGGTGGGTAAGTGAAGTATTTGGACCTGTTCGGTGTATTTTGGGCAGATTTAGATGAGGTGGGTCTGCCTAGGCTTAGCTGTAGGGCCTAAATATTGCCTGGTCAGGAATGACTCTTTCTCCTCAGTTTAATGCCAGGGTTAACATCAGCCCCTGACCTGCCTTCTCGTTGCCTGTGCGAGAGCGAGACGCTCCCTCTCTCTGAGCTGCAGGCTTGTAGCACAGCTGGTACCAGCTGTGTTTCGTAGGTCAGTGGCTAGATGGAGCAGGGTAGGCTGTGCACTCCCTGCAAACCCCTGCTGCTCTGCGAGGCTCCATCCAGCAGCCTGCCCTCCACAGGAGCCACCCCGAGGTTACCCCCTTATATTACAAAAGCAGCCACCTCTGGATCAGTTTGTGTAGCTTCTCTCTGTGGCTGAGCAGGGTGCTCAGAGATGGGCCCTCTTTTTTTCTCTCAAATGTGTTTTCAGCTGCCACTGTTACGCCCTAGTTTCTTTCAGCATTTCAGGAACTAGACAAGCCCTCCATGCCTCATTGATTCACAGCCAGATAGCTTGAATCCAGTCTCCGCAGCAGCCTTCCCTCTTAGCATTCACTTCACCCACATTGGGCAGTGCTGGGTGATATTTAATTTTAAAGAGACAGAGAGAGGGAAAAAGACAGCAATAGGAAGAAAGAGCGGGAATGCTAATGAGAGGGAGAAAGCAATGGTAAAAAGGAGAGAGAAATGAAGTGCATGAGATGGACAAAAAAAATTAAAGGAACTGATGAAGCTGGGCAGTATTAAAATCAGAGGTAGATGCCCATGCCCATTAGTTTTGAGGGAACAAATCAGGGCATTTTAAAACAAGGAAGGGTTGGGAAAACCTAATGCACCACAGTTGTCTTTACTGGAGCCCAGAGAATTTAATGGAGTTACCTCAGAAACGAATTTAATTCCACTGTAGCTATGTCCTCGTTCCATTTTAAATACAACATACTTAGCTGAAATATAGATGGAAGAAGGGGCAAGGTGGAGTGTCAGAGTAGTGGGGAGTGCAGAGAGGGATCCTGAAACCTTCTCTCGTGGGGCCAGCATGACACCTGAGAACTTGCAGATGAATTCAAAAAGGAGAAAATGACACTGATGGAGTCTTGCTGGGGGGCCTAAGCCTGACCTTGCTGCTTTCAAACTCAGTGATAGGACTTCTGTCACCTTTCACAGGCACAAGAGTAGGCTTCTCAGATAAGTCTAAAGTATAGGCAGTAAAAAAAAAAATTATATACAGTTTGGACTAGTGCAGAACCTAGGGGGGAAATAATAACCAGGAAATAGAGATTTTCCTAGGGAGGAATGTGACAAGCTGGCAAATGAAGCGAGAACTTGCAAAAGTGCTTTAAGATCAAAAAGGCCAATAAATGTATAGGACCACTGTAGCAAGTCTGTCTCCTGATGTGACCTCCTCCTGAAAATCTTACCAGGGGCTTGGATGTTTGACAAATGAGGGAGGTTTTATGGGAAAACTGGCCTAAATGGAGAGCGTGCTGATGGGACTGATCTTTGAGCCAAGACAGAGCGCTTGTGAGGCACACAGCAGTTCAACACCGCTCTGTTGTCACCATGCAGGCTTGCACGGCACCTTGCTGGTGCAAGAACTCTGACTCTAGGCCAGCAGCATGGCTAGAGAGCTGCAGCTTTTAGCTAGCTCTGTTGCATGAGCTAGTGGACTGATTTTACGACAAATGACATGTTTTGCTCACCCAACACAGAAGGAGAAGCGTAATATAAGCTGACTATTCAGTTGCCCTATCAAACTCCGTTTTAAATTTAGGGGGATATCCATGTGTACCTATCAGAGATTATCAGGATAGGAATAATCAGTAGTCCCCAGTGTAAGTGGGTGTGCGGATGCTGTCTTTCTAATCTCAGCCATAGTGGGTTGGCTGAGTGATGATGGGAGATGATAATTCTCCTGAGTGTTGTAAGCAAGAGGGCAGAGGAGAGGGATTCTCAGGACAACATGAGTAGTAATGGTGGGAGAGACTGCACAAAAAAACCTTTACAATGACTCTTTGAAATGCTTGCCAGTGAGATCATAGAACAAGAGTCTTTTGGGGAGATGGTGGAAATATAGACTTGCTTTGGATGGATCCCTGGGATGAATTGGGAAAAGTTGTAAGTACAAGAATGGTTCTATTTTCGTTGTATTTTCTCTTCCCTGCGTGAGCGGAATCCTGAGAGTAAAAAAAAAAAAAAAAAAAAAATTGTCAGCTGTTGAAAATGAATGGGAATTGAATATATTCCCTGCCCCACAATTGTCATTTTCTCTGCAGGGCTATTAATGACACGGGGAAAGATAGCTGGTTAAGCTGTGTGACTCAACAAGGTGCATGCAAGAGCAGAGTCAGGCAACTTCTGGTGAATGTGGAGACCAGGCCTTAGGGAGAAAGATTGGTGAGGGGCTCTGGAAAGGGAATCTTCAAGAGTGGCGGCACTTTAAAATTGTTGCTCTTGGAAACTAGAAATGTTGGAGGAGCTATTTTGGCAGCATTAGGATTAAGGGCACTTCCTTCCTCTTGGCAGGCTTATTGGAAGAGGCTAGCTTGTGGCTCTGGGATGCAGGGATGTCAGGGAGGTGATGCCAGTTTGGTCCCAGACCGAAGGTGCAGAACCTCGGGCATCTCCGAGTTCAGCCAAGCCCATTCTACCTGACAGAGTAGACCTACCTGCTAGTAGACCTACTAGATTCTACCTTCAGTGGTCTGTGGAAAAGGCTCTCCATGGGTCTTTCTGTGTGTGATTTCCATGGACAAGGTGCTCAGAGGAGCTAATCACTTGTTGCTAAGACTGATCAGACTACTGTGAGACTCCCTGCTGAAAGTACCTCTATTTTTCTGTGCTCTGATCATGGCCATTCCAGAGCATCTCTCCTTGTAGGACTGAGCAGCTACAGAATGACTTGGCAGCTTTTGCAGTTCTGCTCCTCCAAATATCCTTGGTGTTTTTCTGTTGTTTGGCTCCAGTACTGTCCAGTGCAGTTCCGAACAGGGCCCTGTGGATCTCGCTTCTCTTCTGCTCTGCAGTGATAATGAGTTTAGATATTGTGACTTCTCCTGGCTTCACTGCATACTCCTATTTACCCCAATACACTCTCTTACCTCTTTCTAGTCCTGACATACCTCCTGGTTCGAGTCGTCCATCTGGTCGTACTGCACGTCCCTGTAGGCCACGGCATATCTCTACCGATTCGGCACCACTGTAATCCTGTTTCCATGCACAGCAAGACATCACTTACCAGAGCCCATCTCTCATCAACTTCCAGCCCCCTCTGACACTGGCATTTTTCTAATCATCTTTCTGACCTTTTCACCAAAACTTCTTATTCTCCCCCTTCTTGTATATGCATCCTCCATCCTCTTAGTTATCTCAGAGGTCATTTCTCCTGGTGGGAGCCATTCCCTCCCCTCCCTTCTCTCACCATTGTCCTTTCAGAAATCTCCCAGTTCGTCCACCTTTACTCCTCTCCGGCAGGTTGTAAGTAAGGGTTGTCTTCTGGTCCCTGCTCCTGGGGTCTCTCTGAAGTTGTATTGTTGGGAGCCAGGCCAAAGGTAATGTTAACATGCCTGTGAAGGCAGCGCAGTCCCAGGCAGAGGCTTTCCAATGCAGGCAGGGTGCCTGTGCTGCACGGCTGCCCAGGAGCTCTGCTTCTGGGGCTGGTGGATGGCAGAGATATCCTGCCCTGCAGGGTGAGAGGGCCGGTGTAGGGCACATGGCAGGCCTTACCTGCTCATGGGAGGGGACCAAGGGTCTGGTCTTCCTCCTCTCCCCTTGTCTTATCCTCACGTCTATGGCTTCTGCCTAACAGCTGTTGAAGCTTTCTCAGAGCTGAGCGGGAATTGCTGAAGCTGGAGCAGTCTCAGACACTATTAAATAAGGATCCCAAGAGATTGTGATCAACTCTCTGTCCTGACCACTAGTATCTACATCTACCCCATTAGGTGTCAGTTAGCACTACTTCAGGAAGGATGAGAGGCAAAACAGGCTCTGTTCCAAGAATATGCCAGTG